TGAACGTCATTCATAAACCTAAATAAGGAGGCATTCAGAGCGCTCTACACTGCTTACGTGAGACCAGTCTTAGAGTATGCAGCCCCTTCATGGAGCCCCCACCGAAAGAAAAACATTATGAAACTGGAAAAGGTTCAGAAATTTGCGACGAGGCTAGTCCCGGAGTTACATGGTATGGAATATGAAGAGCGACTGAAGGAACTGAACCTGACGACGTTAGAAAAATGGTTGAGAAAGCGGGGAGATATGATAGCAGCATACAAAATACTTAGGGGGATTGACGAGTGGAAATTGACGAAATGTTCACACGGAATACCAGCAGAACCTGGGAGGACATGGGTGGAAGCTGGGAACTCAGATGAGTCATAGAAATGGTAGAAAGTTTTCTTTTAGCGTGAGAGTAGTGGGGAAATGGAATGAACTAAAGAAGCACATTGCAAATAGCAAACACTATTCATAGCTTTAAAACTTGGTATGATAGAGGAGGACAGGAGTCATTGATTTAAACAACCGGCGGCTAGAAAGGCGGGATCCAAGAGCCAACGCTCGATCCTACAGGCACAGTTAGTAAATACACACACTTTTTTAGATAAATTGAGGCTCAAGAGCTTGGTGCCGTGCTAATGTACCGTGCAGGCTAGGGACACGAGGGATGTGACGTAAAGCATAAGCCTGGCGAGTATAATCCTCTCAGTAACATTACCCGACCAGGAGGTCAGAGAGATGGGTCTGACTTCGTGTGAATCGGACTTGGGTGTTGTGAGTCGCTGTGCCCAGCGCTCTGGTAACACTCCCTGCCTCATGCTTTGATCAAACACTTCTCATATAATGCATTAATGCCAATAAAAACGTATTTGTTATACCATTCGAAAATACAATGTTTGAATTGCATGTGCAAATTTTCGTAAATATTATTATTTTCTTCTTTTTAAACATTGAAATGTAACATAATTTGTAGTGTGCGATTTTTGTATTATTAAGACGGGTACGAGGTCATTTATTGTGCTAGCCTAGACTGTGTAAGGTTAAGATGTGAGGGTTAAGAGTTGTGTGGTACTACACGTGCCCATCACGCAGGGTGGTTAGTCATACAAGGCCACGTGATCAGTAGCCGGCGCTGACACACTCTGGATGCATTATGAGGATATCATCAACAACACGAGAGTTAATAAAGTGATTGCAGCGCTCTAGGTACCTCATGCCGGGGGATCTGAAGGGTCTAATGACTGGACATTCAATAGTGTAGTGTATGAGAACAGGACTCTAGTTCCAGCTGACACAGCTCGCACCTGGAGTGCTCACGACCTTCTGTGTATAAGTTACCAGGACACTTGTAGGTTACTCCACACTGGTCTGCACTTCCTCGCAACATGAACCACTAGAGCAAGGTGCATTAGACTACAAGTGAAGCGGTGTGGCCCGTCACTGGGGCTCCAGCTTGGGGGAGTGTGGCCACAAGTGGAGACTCACACCATCAACACCCAGGGGCCGTACCTGAGGTGTTCTGCACCCGGGCTACATGCTTTCCACGCCCCCACCCACCCACCATCCCTCACTCCATCCCTCCCACCCTCATAAATAGTTATTTATGTAACCCCTCATAAATAGTTATTTATGAGGGTTATATTTAAGATTTGTCTACCAGGTGGTAAATGTTGGTGTTCCTACCAACTTGCAGGAACACTCGTCACTAAACAGTCCCGGATTTAAGAACCGTCGGGATAAAAACCTTTGACGGATGGTAAACATTGTTGAGGGTGCAATAGAAGCGTGACCTTGCGGTATGAGAGAGACGGTTGTGCAGAGGAGCCCGCCGCTGTCAGTCGCCCTCGTGGAGGTTGTGACATGCACACACATGGCTGGCATACACACAGTTGTGCAACACGTACAGTCAGTGTCATGTAATCTTCAACACACACACACACACACATTCATGGGTGGACATGATCACCACATTCAAGATTCTGAAAGGAATTGATACGGTAGATAAAGACAGTCTATTTAACACAAGGGGAACACGCACAAGGGGACACAGGTGGAAACTGAGTGCCCAAATGAGCCACAGAGATATTAGAAAGAACTTTTTTAGTGTCAGAGTGGTTGACAAATGGAATGCATTAGGAAGTGATGTGGTGGAGGCCGACTCCATACACAGTTTCAAGTGTAGATATGATAGAGCCCAATAGGCTCAGGAACCTGTACACCTGTTGATTGACAGTTGAGAGGCGGGACCAAAGAGCCCGAGCTCAACCCCCGCAAACACAACTAGGTGAGTACACGCACACACACACACACTCGCCATGCTGAACATCCTCACACATGCAACAACACACCATCGTCCTTGAGGTGTTCCAGCATGTACACTAACTGGCCGACTGTTGGTAATCAACTGGCCTCCTTGTCACAGTACGGTCGCTGACAGTGACTGTACTGTCACAACGGCGGCCGCCAGCAGTGAGGCGTGCACTCCACCACCACCACTGCGGAAGCACAGTTAAGAAGAGGGAGTCGAACCTGGTGGTATTGGCGCCGCGCTAAGACGCCAGTACTAGGCCCTCAGGACCCCAACACCCACCAGGTCCACAGAGAGGCCCGGAGGCTGACCACCCAAGACTCCCTCATACCACTCAGGGATTCCAGGTCCGCTGGCCAGACTCGATCTAGCCAGTATTTGCCCCACGTGGCTAGGGCGGCCCTGCCTACAGTGACTGCTGCCTAGCCTAGATGGAGTGGGGGCTCACTAGCCTAGAGGGAGAGTGGGTGCTCACTAGCCTAGAGGGAGAGTGGGTGCTCACTAGCCTAGAGGGAGAGTGGGTGCTCACTAGCCTAGAGAATAACACTGCACATTGCAACATTTTTCTGAATTCAATAAAAAACTTGCCTCACCGGATAAGGAAATACCTGGCACGCTACCTCACGCGCGCGCTCTTACACGCGCGCACACACCAGGAGCTGGAGGTCAACTCCTCACACTCTCAGGAAAGGGAGGAGGACATAGACCAGGAGCTGAAGTTCAACTCTTAGTCAGCCTTCCTGTCTGCTTCCCTCCGTGTCTCCCCTCCTCCCTCTCTCCCTCTCTCCTTCCATCCTATCCTTGCCTCCCCCCTCCTTCTCTGTCTCCTTCTACCCTTTCTTCCCCACCTATCCCTACCTCCCACCTATATAATAAGGGTGGGGGTGAACTGGGGATTAAAGGGTGCGGTACAACAGATAATTTGCAACTCTTGCCACCTCTTGTACTCCTGTAATTACTGTAATTTATACCCTGGATTATCTTAGACTTGTACTTGCCTGTTCACTACTATAAGGGGAGTGAAGGAGTCCGCCGCCTTGTGTCAGAAGATACACCAACACAATACTCAGTCGTGATGAGTGTCTGGGCGGGTCACTTCACACACTCTACTTATGACACTTATTGCTCCTACTTACCACACTTATTGCCCCTACTTACCACACTTTAAATGACTTTATAAGACCAGATGAACAACATACGAACCAAACTGTCATATTTATTCCCACACATGAATCCACAACTTAACTCAGTACTTCACTAATAACGGCCTTAGTTGGTAGGACCACTTTCCACAACACACAATTTTAGCAATTTCTCCCCACTTGACCTCAGACAAGAGTCACTGATAGAGATCTGAATGTAATGCACCAGTGAAGCTGTCATCTTGACAGGTTGATTCTGAACTCTTACAGTCACGTCCGAGTTACCTGTCAACCCAGCAGGGCCAAGAGACACCCAGGAATTAACAGATAAAAATCAATTGTTTTGATTAGAATTCACTATAATGTTGTCGATTTCCCGTCTATTTTACTGACAGAAGATGCACACGTAAAACAGCTGCATTCCGACTGAAACGTGGAAATATGTAATTGACAGCCTGTATGTGACGGCTGGCGGGTGTGACGGTGTTCTCTGTCAGGCTGGTGGCGTGACGCTGGCGACACCGTGCTCTCAGTAGACGTGTCACGCACAAGCCTCTACACTACTCTTCTCCAGCCCCCACCATATGGAAGACAGGCAGCCTGGGGGCTCCAGCACACCGTCACTGCTCTCACCACTCCACCCCGTCTCTTACTCTTCCTCTCTCACCTCGCCTCGACAAGGAAGAGAAGGAACAAAGAGAGAGGGAGGGGAAAAAGAGGGATAGGGAAACGAGGATGGAGGGAAAACAGACAGGGAGGGGCAACAGACAGGAAGAGAGTGGGAAGAGACAGGGACGTAAACAACGAGGAAGTCTAATCATGACAGGAAGTTGTGTTACTCTCAGTCATGTCCTGTTATATTTTATTGTAGATTATATTAGTATATTTGTAGATTCACTTGTTCAAAATAAATATATATATCCCCGCCCCCTCTCTGTCTCATTTGATTTCATTCTGAATGGCTTAATTAAAACAAAATCTTAGCATGATGATTAAGAGGCAGGTAACCCATGAAGGGCTGCAAGATCCTGGCACTGACGTGTAGTGGTCACTAGGCCTTCTGCAACTCCTCCTGTTCTCATGTTTACCAAGACTTTTCCAGTCCATGTATTCCAGTACTGTACTGCATTCATTATACTTTTCATGATATGTGGATTAACATAACAATAGTTTCAAGTAATGTTTCATTTTCCCTTGTTGTCTATTTTATATATATAATATATATATATATATATATATATATATATATATATATATATATATATATATATAATTAGCGCGAAATTGCTTTATCGGTTGGCTTGTTTAAACAAAACCGTTAATACCCAAGGTCGCGCAAGCCATGATTCTGGTCGTACAGCTGGCAGTGCAGTGACCAGGTGACTGACAAGATCACTGCTGTAACTCTCGTACCGCACCCACCATTGGTGGGAAGGGCGGCAGATGTGTCTGGTGGGGTATATGGTCGCTTAATATTTCGGTGTAGGATATATATTATTATATAATGATTATATTTATTTGGATTACTGTCATTAACGGTGTCTTCTATTCTGTTATCCCCACAGGGCGGGGACCTGCGCGCCAATATTGAGGGGCTACTCAAGAAGTTTAGAGTCACGAAAGAAAACGAGAAGGTAAGACACTTGGGAATGGGTTCGTTGAACGTCGGCTGTCTGGTGGTCCTCAGCTGAGGGTTCGTTGAACATCAGCTCAGTCTGCATGTCCCGTGCTGGGATGTGTTCGTAAGACTGGTTGGTCATCTGTCAACTGTTTTTTCGTTTCATACCAAAAATATTAATAATTTAGTTCATTTTTAAATTGTGGAGTATTAGTGTTAGCAGTTAATTAATATAATGACTTAATCTGGCTTCCTCGACGGACACAGGTCGTATAGTGAGGGCCACGGGTCATATAGTGAGGGCCACGGGTCCTATAGTGACGGCCACGGGTCCGATAGTGACGGCCACGGGTCCTACAGTGAGGGGCCACAGGTCCTATAGTGAGGGCCAGGCGTGAACCTGGTACAAGGAGTGCCAAGGGTGCCTCAGTGAAGTACCGTGAATCACCCCTGGAAAGGTCAGGACTATTTACCTAGTGGCGGAACCCGCCATAAAACAGCAAGTAGTGAAGGTTATGTGGCCGCCGGTCTCCGGTGGGGTCATGCCCCGGGTAGGTGCCCCGGGCAGGTGCCCCGGGCTCCCCCTATACTGATCAACAGACAGTCAAGCGCTCTGCTACACGTGTACGACCAGCAAACCTTGGCTATAGAAGCGGAGGAAAGTGTGTTGAGAATGTTGAGAAGCACACTTGAACTGTGAGGTGAAGCAAAATATTGAAACACTAAGCCAAGTCACTCATATGATCTGTAACACGTATCGCCCCGTCCTGGACCCCTGATCATGTCTACATGATAACGGCCCCTGATCATGTCTACATGATCAGGGCCGTGTGGCGAAGTGAACACGTCCCTGCATGGCGGCCCGCCTCGCACCAGCCACCTGGTGTGGTCGTGGCAGCACTGACCACGCCCAGTCCTTAACTCTTCCCCTCTGTTCACCCAGCAGTAATATGAGTCCCTGGTTGTTAAACGATTGGCAGGTAGTGCTCCAGGGATAACTAGAGGGCTAACATCAAGTACTCAGTTATGAGAACTTTTCTTCCCTCGTAGCTGGTCACTGAAGTCAAGTTGAGCCGTGAATAAAATGAAGAAATTACCAGTTCAACGGTAAATGAAACATGACATCAACAGTTTACTGAATGATGAATCATGCTAATATATTTGGAACTTGCCCACTACACACTACTCCCGGCTTACCTTGAGGTTACCTTGAGATGATTTCGGGGCTTAGCGTCCCCGCGGCCCGGTCATCGACCAGGCCTCCTCGTTGCTACGGCACCAATAGCTTGGTGCCATTTTTGATAACCACTTTACTCGCAACAAAACTGAACGGAATATTAACCCTGAAATATAACAGTGAATTAAAAAAGCAACGCATTGCTACTGTGAAACTTAAAGTATTTTGGTGCAAATGCGGAGACTTGCCCGAAACGTTGTGCGTATTAGTGGCTTTAGGCATAGTACTAGGCCTGGTACTAGGCCTGGTACTAGGCATAGTACTAGGCATAGTACTAGGCCTGGTACTAGGCCTGGTACTAGGCCTGGTACTAGGCCTGGTACTAGGCATAGTACTAGGCCTGGTACTAGGCATAGTGTGTAATAGCTCTTTTCTAGAAATCCAACATTCTGTTTGTAACTCATCTTGTATGTACGTTTACCTGAATAAAAAATTATTATTTATTTATTTAGTGACAATGCAGTGATTATGTGCAACATGCAGTGATTATGTGCTACATGCAGTGATTATGGGCAACATACAGTGATTATGTGCAACATACAGTGATTATGTGCAACATACAGTGATTATGTGCAACATACAGTGATTATGGGCAACATACAGTGATTATGTGCAACATACAGTGATTATGTGCAACATACAGTGATTATGGGCAACATACAGTGATTATGGGCAACATACAGTGATTATGTGCAACATGCAGTGATTATGGGCAACATACAGTGATTATGTGCAACATACAGTGATTATGTGCAACATACAGTGATTATGGGCAACATACAGTGATTATGGGCAACATACAGTGATTATGGGCAACATACAGTGATTATGTGCAACATGCAGTGATTATGTGCAACATACAGTGATTATGGGCAACATACAGTGATTATGTGCAACATACAGTGATTATGTGCAACATACAGTGATTATGGGCAACATACAGTGATTATGGGCAACATACAGTGATTATGTGCAACATGCAGTGATTATGGGCAACATACAGTGATTATGGGCAACATACAGTGATTATGGGCAACATACAGTGATTATGGGCAACATACAGTGATTATGGGCAACATGCAGTGATTATGTGCAACATGCAGTGATTATGGGCAACATACAGTGATTATGTGCAACATAGTGATTATGGGCAACATGCAGTGATTATGGGCAACATGCAGTGATTATGTGCAACATAGTGATTATGGGCAACATACAGTGATTATGTGCAACATGCAGTGATTATGTGCAACATGCAGTGATTATGGGCAACATGCAGTGATTATGGGCAACATGCAGTGATTATGGGCAACATACAGTGATTATGTGCAACATAGTGATTATGGGCAACATACAGTGATTATGTGTAACATGCAGTGATTATGTGCAACATGCAGTGATTATGTGCAACATACAGTGATTATGTGCAACATGCAGTGATTATGTGCAACATGCAGTGATTATGTGCAACATGCAGTGATTATGTGTAACATGCAGTGATTATGGGCAACATGCAGTGATTATGGGCAACATGCAGTGATTATGGGCAACATGCAGTGATTATGGGCAACATGCAGTGATTATGGGCAACATGCAGTGATTATGGGCAACATACAGTGATTATGGGCAACATACAGTGATTATGGACAACATAGTGATTATGTGCAACATACAGTGATTATGTGCTACATACAGTGATTATGTGCAGCATACAGTGATTATGTGCAGCATGCAGTGATTATGTGCAACATGCAGTGATTATGTGCAACATGCAGTGATTATGTGCAACATGCAGTGATTATGTGCAACATGCAGTGATTATGTGCAACATGCAGTGATTATGTGCAGCATACAGTGATTATGGGCAACATACAGTGATTATGTGCAACATACAGTGATTATGGACAACATACAGTGATTAGCTGACTAAACCACACACTAGAAAGTGAAGGGACGACGACGTTTCGGTCGGTCTTGGACCATTCTCAAGTCGATTGTGATGAGGGAAGGTTGTTGTTATAGGTTCAGCTACTGGGAACAAAAAGTTCCAAGTAGCACGGGCTAAGGTGAGCCCGTAACTTGCCTGGCTCCATTTGATGAAGCCAGGCAAGTGTCCACTTATGATGATGAGTGTCTACTCACTCATCCTGTGAGTGGACACACCGCCATAGTGACAGTATTGAACAGCGCCACTCATCCTGTGAGTGGACACACCGCCATAGTGACAGTATTGGGCAGCGCCACTCATCCTGTGAGTGGACACACCGCCATAGTGACAGTATTGGACAGCGCCACTCATCCTGTGAGTGGACACACCGCCATAGTGACAGTATTGGGCAGCGCCACTCATCCTGTGAGTGGACACACCGCCATAGTGACAGTATTGACAACACGCCCCAATAAGAAGAAAACCCGCTGGGTTGTTCATCCTGTCACTTGTACCCAGACACAGCTGGGACTTGCTTAACTGGCTCAAGTGAACAGCTCCTCAAACAAGAAGATTAACATCTGTCAACCCTTAAAAGTTAAAACGTTATCTTGCGGGTGCAAAATGGGGGAATCTTTTAAGAACAGTATCAACATTTGACAAATAGTGTTTTCCTAACTCAAACAATGTGGGGTTTATTATTCTACACATATTTCTAATGTGTCTCAGGTGTTCACATTCTCTCAGGTAGTGGTCAAGGCGGTGTCCGTCACTCATATGTGATGAGAGTGACGGACTGTGGTGTTGTGTTGCATCAGAGCCACTAACCTCGTGTCGTGTTGCAGGAGAGTGAGATCTTCACACTGGCCAACCTGGACAACGGCTGCATCAGAAAGTTCATCGTCAAGAAGGTGGACGAGTCGGTGAGTGGTAATTATTCTAACTTTTAGACTGGTGGTAATTGTTCCAATTGCCGTGATTGTAATTGTTGTAATTGTGTAATTTATCTTATTTGTGTTACTGTAATTGTGTGCATTGTTGTTATTGTGAGTGTTGGTGTTATTGTGAGTGTTGGTGTAATTGTGTGTTGTTGTAATTGTGAGTGTGTGATGGGGAGGTAGGGACAGGCATTAAATAGGCAAGAGAGAGCTGAGGAGGAAAGTCAGGTGTAGGGGATAGTAGTAATGAGAACTGCAGCAGGCCTATTGGCCCATACGAGGCAGCTCCTATTATAACCACCGAAGGAGATAGTAATAGGAAAAGAAGAGGATAGCAAGGGAGCGTAGGAGAAGACAATGAACAGAAAAAGGGAGAAGAGAGAAAGAAAGGGAAAGAGAAAGAAAGAAATAAATGGAAGGGGGAAAGCTTATGTTAAGTCACGTTTGTTAGAAAGATTAGAGCATTTGAGTATATACTGTGAAAGGGAAGAGTCCACAGCAACAAAGCCAGGACTCAAGTTCATGTTGGGTACATTGTTAATAAGAGCCGATTCTACAAGACGGCGTCTGTGTAGAGTAGAGGCAGGAAAGATTATTTTGGAGGAAGACCAATCAATGGGATGATTAGAATCCCTCACATGGCAGAAGAGAGCATTGTTAGTGTCTGCAGACATAACACTTCTCTTGTGTTCTTTAAGTCTGTCATTCAGTGTACGGCCAGTTTCGCCAAAGTATTGGAGAGGACAAGATGAACAGGAAATAGCGTAGACACCAGCAGCATTAGAAGCAGGAGGAGCAGTGTGAACTAGATTGCTACGAAGTGTGTTAGTTTGTCGAAAGGCGAGTTTAATGTCAAGAGGACGAAAGGTATTGGTAAAAGTTTTGAGTTCAGATATGAAGGGAAGGCATAGTACAGTGCTACTAGTGTTGGAAGCAGGTTTAGGATGAAAGAAATTTCGTTTAGCTTGAGAGTGGGCACAGTTGATGAAATGCAAAGGATAACCAAGGCGAGAGAATGATTTGTAGATAAAGGCAATTTCAGAATCAAGAAACTGAGGGTCGCTGATGCGTAGAGCGCGGAGGAAGAGAGACGAGGACACTTTTCTTAACAGAAAGAGGATGGTAGGAAAAGAAGTGAATGTACATGCCACTATGCATGGGTTTACGGTAGACAGAGAAAGAGAACCCAGACACAGAGCTGTGAACATGAACATCAAGAAAAGGAAGGAGGGAATTAGATTCCCACTCAACTTTGAAATGGATAGAAGGAGCCAGATTGTTAAGAGAGGCGAGGAAAGGCTGGAAAAGATTAAGGTCATGAGGCCATAAAGCAAAAATGTCATCAACATAGCGAAGCCAGAGAGAGGGACGAGTATCAATAGAAGGAAGAAGAACAGTTTCGAAGTATTCCATGTAGAAATTAGCAAGAACAGGGGAGAGAGGGGAACCCATAGCGACACCGAAAGTTTGAGTGTAATATTTACCGTTGAAAGAGAAAGAGTTAGATTCAACACAGAGTCTAATGAGATCGAGGAAAACGTCAGTGGGAAGTGGGAGAGGAAGGAGACCCTCTGACGCCTTCTGTCTGAGGAAAGAGAGAACGTCATCGAGCGGAACATTAGTGAACAGAGAGTCGACATCAAGACTAAGCATTTTACAAGAGGGTTGCAGGCGCAGTCTTTCTATGAAGTCCTGAGAGTGACGAAGGTGGGCAGGGGAAAAAGTGCCAAGGTAAGGTGTCAGGGTTTTAGCGAGCCAGGAGGCAAGAGGATAGCTGACAGAGCCCCGTGAAGAAATGATAGGACGAAGAGGAACACCAGGTTTATGAGTCTTAGGAAGACCATAGAAATAAGGAAGAGAAGGGCAGATGACACGGAAACGTTTAATGAGATCAAAGTCAGGAGGGCAAAGACTAGAGAGCTGTCTTAGTTTGCGGTTAAAGGAAGTTTTGAGGCGATCCAAAGGGTTAGAAGTCAGAGGAGCATAAGTGTGAGAGTCAGAGAGCAAGACATCTGCTTTTCGGAGGTAGTCCTCACGGTCAAGGACAACCACCGAATTGCTTTTGTCTGAAGGAAGGATAAGAATAGAGTTGTTAGATTTCAGGGAGGCAAGGGCAAGCTGGAAGCGACGAGGAAGGTGGTTATTTTTAGAAAACAAGCTGTCAAGAACGGGGATAAGGGCCCCTCTAAAGGCAGACAGGTCCGAAAGAGTACTAGAGTTAGAACTGACAAACCTGTCAAAGGAACTAATGAGATCAATGCCACAGCGTGGGCCAGGGGAAGTAGCAAAACACAGACCAAGACCAAGAAGTTCTTGCTGGTGCTTAGAAAGAGAGTAGGACGAAAGGTTGGTAACACAGTCAGAGAGAGAGTATTTGGCCCAAGGACTGTTGGAGATCAGGCGTTGAAGTTTGTTGTGTAGTGTGGAGGAGTGGTGGGAAGAGGAGACGTGAGCAGTGTCAAATGCAATTGGAAAAATGATATTGCATAGATCACTGGGAAGAGAAGAGGACAGAAAGCGTTGCTGTTGACGAACAGCAAGAAAAGCCTCGTCAACTTGCAAGGAGGTGGCATGAATAAGTTCTTGAAGAAGAAGGCGGGCATGTTCAGGGAAAGGAGATCCCGAAGTGTTGAACTGGAGAAAGTGAGATAAAGAATGAGGGAGAACTTGCTCAGCAAGACAGTCTTTAAGAAACCTGAGCTGGTTCTTTCGACGCTTGGCGGCAAGAAGGGAAGATTCAAAGGCGCGAAAAGGCCGTTTGAAGGAAGGTAGAGCATCAAAGAAATTAAACAGAGTAAGCCGCGTACGTGTGGTATCCATATGCAGGCGATGAGTCACAATAACGTGGCTGAAGTATGTTGACCAGACGAACACACTAGAAATTGAAGGGACGACGACGTCTCATTACTACTATCCCCTACACCTGACTTTCCTCCTCAGCTCTCTCTTGCCTATTTAATGCCTGTCCCTACCTGTCCTCATCACAATCGACTTGAGAATGGTCCAGGACGGACCGAAACGTCGTCGTCCCTTCAATTTCTAGTGTGTGGTCTGGTCAACATACTTCAGCCACGTTATTGTGACTCATCGCCTGCATATGGATACCACACGTACGCGTCTTACTCTGTTTAATTTCTTTGATGCTCTACCTTCCTTCAAACGGCCTTTTCGCGCCTTTGAATCTTCCCTTCTTGCCGCCAAGCGTCGAAAGAACCAGCTCAGGTTTCTTAAAGACTGTCTTGCTGAGCAAGTTCTCCCTCATTCTTTATCTCACTTTCTCCAGTTCAACACTTCGGGATCTCCTTTCCCTGAACATGCCCGCCTTCTTCTTCAAGAACTTATTCATGCCACCTCCTTGCAAGTTGACGAGGCTTTTCTTGCTGTTCGTCAACAGCAACGCTTTCTGTCCTCTTCTCTTCCCAGTGATCTATGCAATATCATTTTTCCAATTGCATTTGACACTGCTCACGTCTCCTCTTCCCACCACTCCTCCACACTACACAACAAACTTCAACGCCTGATCTCCAACAGTCCTTGGGCCAAATACTCTCTCTCTGACTGTGTTACCAACCTTTCGTCCTACTCTCTTTCTAAGCACCAGCAAGAACTTCTTGGTCTTGGTCTGTCTTTTGCTACTTCCCCTGGCCCACGCTGTGGCATTGATCTCATTAGTTCCTTTGACAGGTTTGTCAATTCTAACTCTAGTACTCTTTCGGACCTGTCTGCCTTTAGAGGGGCCCTTATCCCCGTTCTTGACAGCTTGTTTTCTAAAAATAACCACCTTCCTCGTCGCTTCCAGCTTGCCCTTGCCTCCCTGAAATCTAACAACTCTATTCTTATCCTTCCTTCAGACAAAAGCAATTCGGTGGTTGTCCTTGACCGTGAGGACTACCTCCGAAAAGCAGATGTCTTGCTCTCTGACTCTCACACTTATGCTCCTCTGACTTCTAACCCTTTGGATCGCCTCAAAACTTCCTTTAACCGCAAACTAAGACAGCTCTCTAGTCTTTGCCCTCCTGACTTTGATCTCATTAAACGTTTCCGTGTCATCTGCCCTTCTCTTCCTTATTTCTATGGTCTTCCTAAGACTCATAAACCTGGTGTTCCTCTTCGTCCTATCATTTCTTCACGGGGCTCTGTCAGCTATCCTCTTGCCTCCTGGCTCGCTAAAACCCTGACACCTTACCTTGGCACTTTTTCCCCTGCCCACCTTCGTCACTCTCAGGACTTCATAGAAAGACTGCGCCTGCAACCCTCTTGTAAAATGCTTAGTCTTGATGTCGACTCTCTGTTCACTAATGTTCCGCTCGATGACGTTCTCTCTTTCCTCAGACAGAAGGCGTCAGAGGGTCTCCTTCCTCTCCCACTTCCCACTGACGTTTTCCTCGATCTCATTAGACTCTGTGTTGAATCTAACTCTTTCTCTTTCAACGGTAAATATTACACTCAAACTTTCGGTGTCGCTATGGGTTCCCCTCTCTCCCCTGTTCTTGCTAATTTCTACATGGAATACTTCGAAACTGTTCTTCTTCCTTCTATTGATACTCGTCCCTCTCTCTGGCTTCGCTATGTTGATGACATTTTTGCTTTATGGCCTCATGACCTTAATCTTTTCCAGCCTTTCCTCGCCTCTCTTAACAATCTGGCTCCTTCTATCCATTTCAAAGTTGAGTGGGAATCTAATTCCCTCCTTCCTTTTCTTGATGTTCATGTTCACAGCTCTGTGTCTGGGTTCTCTTTCTCTGTCTACCGTAAACCCATGCATAGTGGCATGTACATTCACTTCTTTTCCTACCATCCTCTTTCTGTTAAGAAAAGTGTCCTCGTCTCTCTCTTCCTCCGCGCTCTACGCATCAGCGACCCTCAGTTTCTTGATTCTGAAATTGCCTTTATCTACAAATCATTCTCTCGCCTTGGTTATCCTTTGCATTTCATCAACTGTGCCCACTCTCAAGCTAAACGAAATTTCTTTCATCCTAAACCTG